ACTCCCATGAATGTTACTAAACACAGACTTACACATTTTCCAAGATAAAGCTGTATTTTTCTTTTTTTGCTACAAAGCTTCCATTCTCTGTAAAAAGGCAACAAAATAGTCACAGGATCAGCTATTAAGACTATGTATGCAGCCTATTTAGAATACTTAAATACTGGGATATTTAGCGAGCCTAAATATCCATTCTGCAGTTTACATTTATTTGCTTCTAGAATAGCAATATACCTACTCAAACTGCAAAACAAGAAGCATAAATGTGCATTCAGCATGCTTTGAAACCATCACAATGTAAAAACCTGTACAATATCTCTCCTCTGTTGTCTTTGCCCAGATAGAAGAGCATGCACGTTTCAGTACCATGCCAAAGAAAAACTGGCTGTGCTTCAGCCACGTCAGATCAAAGCTGTCCAAGGAACTTACAGGCTCTGTAAGCAGTGCAAGTGATTTAGCAGATTAGCTTTCAATTCATCATAGAATCAGCATCCTGGAACCATTAAAAGACATTGCACTTCAGGAATTGCCTTTTTATTTATTTATTTATTCACCAAAAGAGTTCAAGAATTCCCCAAGCACTTGGTGGCTGGCTCATAATTTCACAGCACAGCCCAATCTGCCCCCTTTGGGCTCACACTCAGCTAAGCACAATCACACCAGCTCACAAGTGCAATTTATAAGTCCTCACAGGCATCTGACTTAACATTTGAAGTTGATGACAGATGTTATTGTAACTGTTTCCTTAAGGAAAAGCAAATGGCTTGAGCAGATTTCAAATGAGGTCTATAAATGAAAGCTGAGGTACATCCTGACTGCCAAGACTCAGCCATCAAAAATAAACTTGCTGTACACAGCAAACTGTCTTCCAGAGAAGCCCCTGAGAGTACCCATTTCTTCCACTATTATTGGACATAGGTAAACAAAAAGAACTGTGCTTTATTTACCAGGTCATATCTGTCCACTAATCTGAATTGTCCAAAGAATGTAAGTGGTAAGAACTGTATTTCAGCAATATATTTTGAGGAAAAGAATGCACTACAGAAAACTGTTTAAGTCAAAAGCCTCACCATCACAGAAATAACACAGACCTGTGCTGTTTTATAAAGTAATTAAATAATTCAGACACTGCATGTGCCAAGAGATAATGAAATATACATCTAAGCAGATTACCAGTAAATTAATTTTACTGACCATGAAAAGTGTTTAGATAACACTGAAAACTGAAGGGGCAGCAGCAAAAATTCTAACAGGACTCAACTCATGTTTGACAAAGAAAAATCAGTTCCTGAGAATTCAAGTACTATGGCCTCCAAGTCCTGCATTGAAACAATGCAAACATACCAAACAGTGTAACCACAAGTACAGACATATTAAACCTCCATGAGGCAACTCCACAGTACTTCCTGAAAATACAGCACATCATTTCCACACAAACATACACAATATATATTTATATATGCACACACCACTTCCATCAATCCTTTTATGCCACTCAATGTCCCAATTTCTCACACATTGAGAGTTTAGACTTAAATCACTTTGAAGATATCTCAATTTTCAATTTTTGTAGAATTTAGCTGCTAGATTCGACATCTGCACTGTGCCTTGAGTTAGAGGAAGAGGATAAAGCAACAACAAAATTGAAATTTCACAATGCTAATTCATCAAACACCCACATTTTCTCATACAAATATTGGATATCCATGCTAGAAAAGTCCTTGGACCTCCACAAGTAGTCAAGTGCTGCTTTCCAAGGAAACAGGATGGGGGTTTTTCTGCATCTTACATACAAGCAGTAACAAATCAACATAAGTCTATTTCACTTGATTTCAGAAAGACTTTAAGAGATGGTTTCTTTCCATAAAATACTTTGGATCTTTAAAAAGGGAATAAAACAAGAATACTCCAGAACAACATTTAACTGATGTTTGCTGATACGCCTTTTTATTTTCTTAATGTCAAAGAATCACTGAGATACACAGTTCATTTTGAGAATTTAGTTTCAACTATGACCCTGAAAAAGAAATTACAAAGTCATTCTACGTTCAAATAACTCTTACCCTTTTAACTTAACTTTGTTAGTGTTGCAAAACATAAGCTCACATTGCTAAGTACATATGAGATCATTCAAAAACTAAGACTTAAATCACAAAAATATATTAACACAATCCTAAACCAAACAAATAAAATATCACAGATGAGAGGGGGGGTCACATAATAATTTTTTTAAAAAATCAGCATCAGAGTAATACTTCCTAGGTGGATCTAAGATCCTCCATATACATCTCCCAGGGATTAAAAACAAAATTAAACAGATGATAACAAATGCATCATAGCAGATAAAAATGGAATAAACACCCTAAGAGATACAGGTGGGGGAACATATGTGGTCTTTGGAAGCGATACACAGCCTGGTTACCTCACCCTCTTTGAGGGGTGAACAACCCACTCTTTTCTCTTAGTCATCCTTCAAAGGTCAGTAACAATCATTTTTCTAAAGCAAAAGAAAAAAATATCACCTTGAGCATGCTTATACAAAAGCAGATGCTGAATAGATAATTCTCTAAGTATCACATATATTTGACATTCTAAAATTGTTGAATGCATTATTTTGGTATTTGGCTGCTAAGAGTAAGGCCCACACCTTTCTACAGCCTTCAGAGCAGGCAAGGAATAGCAGGAGGGACTGGAATGGATGCTGGATCTCACACTACCATCCACCAGAATTTGACTAGCAGTAGATTAGAGTTGAAGAACCACCCACAGGATAAGAGGCAGCAAGATGGGTCTCCTCCAAATACCGGCAAACCACAAGAGCAAGGATAATGAGTATAATAAGGCACCCGAACACTAACCAAGAAATTTCTCAGTTCTTAACTGGAAGATCTGCCCCACCCTGGGTGTGCTCATGAAACAGAAGATGGGGTTTGTCCATATTTCAAAGGTGTAGTTTCAACCTGAGCTGGACAGCCATAAACCCCAGGGACTGACCTTATCTCAGTGAGCCTTTGGAAGAAAAAATCATGTTTCCTTCACTCACTGGACAGAAAGCTTCTCCTTCCTCCCAGATTGCTCTAGCAAAAGTGAAAATGCTAACTCACCTTGATGCCTTTGAAAGCCATTTTAAACACAGCTTTCAAACAAAAATAACAGCAGTAAAAATGCTTCCTTTAAGGCACTAAGGAAATGTGGAGGCACTTTCACACACAGCCCTTAACACAGACACCCTCAAAGCCAAGGCTTGGAAAGAAAGCTTTTCCCACAGAAACCTACTCCTCAAGGGACCTGATATGTCATTACACTATCTGCGTGTGCAGAAACAGACCCTTTTAAAAAAGGGCCCTTTTGGAAAGGAACAAACACTGAATGCACTGCTCCAGCACACGCGACCGTGAGGGGACTGCGGCTGAGGGAGCTTCGCCTGCCTTGCTGCTGGTGAGGTTTTATGGCTGGCGTGTCCTTCACCTGAGCTGTGGGAGCGTTCGCCATCCCCGGTCCTTCCACGGGGACAGCCCGAGGAGACCCCCCGGCACAGGGATGGTTTGGGGTCCCCGTGGGGAGGTGCAGCCCGGACACCGCCGCTGCGCGGGGCCGGGCCGGGCCGGGCCGGGCCCCCTCAGCCCCGCTGCCGAGCAGGGAGGCAGGAGGGCAGTGCCCGATGTTCCCCCGCTCCGGGGCTGGGCAAGGGCCGCGGGAGGGCTCTGCCCGCGCCCCCATGCAGGCTGTGGAGCTCTGCGATTCCCGAGGGAGGGAGGAGGAAGGCGGCAGCGCATCTCCAGCATCTCCCCTCAGGGCAGGGCGGCGGGGCTGACACGGGCGAGCCGCTCCGTCCTCGGCTTGGCGACGGGGAAACCAAGTGCCAGGGGCGAAGCGACTCGGTGGAGAGGAACCTCCCTCCCTTCCCCGCCCTCCGAGGAGGGGGAGCCGGAGCGGGGCCTGCGCCCGGCGCGGCTGCCGGGAAGGGGCCGCGTTCGAGGCGGCCGCCCTGGACACGCACGTGGGGCTGGAGGTACAGGGATGGAAATAAAAACAAATCCCGAACGACAACAGCTAAGTGAAACCACTGATTTAGAAAGCCGACCAGAAAACTAACCCTGGCAAGTAGGGTTTGCCCTCCCCTTGGCTGCATTTATTGGCCGCGCTCGTGTGCAACGAGCTCGTATCTGCCAATGCCAGTGGTCGGCCGGCGTGTCCATCACCACGGGAAGAGCAATTCGCCGCTAAGGGAATAGATTCCCATCCATCCATCCATCACAAGGCTTAGCAGGTAGCCGCCTAGAAATCAATCACACACTAATAAAAAAAAAAAAATCCTTCTCCATCAAATTACTACTGTAGTGCTCCCAGAAAAAGATCTATGTATCCTTGGTGAACATAGGCGTGGACTTCATCACATCCATCACTTGTCCAGCCTAAAATGATCTTTAAAAAAAAAAATAAATAAACCCCAGCATCATAAATGAGGGTCCCCAGTAAGTATTTATTATTTATATAACTGAAAAATAATACCCTGTTAGCATCTGTTTCCATTTGCCAGCCACTAGAAGGGAACAGAAATCTCTCACCTTTTTTCCTGACATGGTTTTTAAAACAGCAAACATTATCCATTATTTAGGTATAAAGCTAGGAATTTCCAAAACTGATCAATTCTATTCTAGAAAACTTTAACAACAACAATAATATTTTTAAACACTAGGCACCAAAAAAAATTTAAAAAGCATATAAAAATAGTGTCCTATGGCTGCTTTTAATAGAAATTGGAAGAGAGGTTTCTGGCTGACGATTCTGTAGGGAGAGGCACTCTGTTACCAGAATAAGATGTGCACTTGGTCCCATTTATTACAATGTATTTCCAAAGCAATATAAAAAGCCTATTCTGCAAATTCATCTCCAGATCCAGCTAGCAGACAGTTGTAAAAAGCAATATCCAGCATTTCCTTAATCACAGCAAATTTACCGTCATGCATCCCAGCCATATTCTTGTTTAAGCGTCTCACCTTTCAAATCATTGCATCTGCCTTTCGTCCTCACATGGATTTTACAACATCACGTTCAGCTGGCATCCCGTTTGCGCGGAGGAGGGAGGCAGCAGGGAGAGCCGGAGCCGCGCAATACCCGCGGGGGGCTGAAGAGAAGGAACCTGCTGCAGTCGGGGGAGGCTCGCGTGCCCCTGTCCCTCGTCTTTCCGTCCCTCAGCGAGTCTCCCTCAGTCAGCTGCAAGCCCGGCTGTCTGGGCTGCCAGTCCCTGACTCAACATTCCCAGCATTCCCGAGGAGCCGGGCTCCAGCGGCGCGGCTCGGAGCCGCCGGGGGCAGCAGCAGCAGCAGCGGCACACGCACCGCAGCCCGCGGCTCCTGCGAGCGCCTGGCTCCGGCCATTCATCGCCAGCCCGCGGGTTCCAGTCCCCACCCAGCCACGGCTGCGAGTGTGTTACTCATTGGGAAACAGCCTAAAAATACACCTAGGTCTGCGTAAAACTGCAGAGGATAAATTGCTTTCTCGCCCCCCTGTTCACTGAAGGCCAGAAACCTTCAAAGGCAGGTGCCTCAGAACATGATGTCTAAAAATCTGTTCCTATATGCATGCATTTACATAAACAGAACAAACCCAGAAATCTGAATCAGTGTTTGGGCTTAAGTGTAAAAGAAATTAAGATGACATCCATATTTATTGGTGGTTTTTTTCAAAAAGCAGTATGCAGCGGGAAAAAACACAGATTAGCTGCCACACAAAGCCTGAAAGTCTTTTTCATAAGAAAACTACATTAAAAAATTATTCATGAGACTTTATTGCTTTTTATTCAGGGAAGTGAAAGAAACTTCCATAAACATCACTGGCTTCTCATCCTAAGAACAGAGGTTTGTTCCTTTTCTATTTTTCCCCTCTTCTCAAGTCTTTTCAGTTTAATCGCTTTGTATACAATAAGTGATCACCTTTGGTCATTAGCAACAATGCACCTTCATGCCTTACCCTACACAAAATTTCACAAACATATTTTATCTGTCTCCTCTTGATGTCATTGCCATAACCATGATTTTAAGAACAATTTCAGATCTGTAGTTGCTTTAATATAATCTCTATTTTATTTCTCTCTTGCCCACATATGCATCTATAAATGCCACTATTAAACATAATTGATAACAACTCTTAGGGAATTACTGTTAAAAACTATATCAAATCAAATTAATTTCAACCAATCATGTTTAAAATTAGCATAATCCTTTTATTGCTGTATCTGAATTATCCAAAGCCAGTGGAAATAACTGGCTGTCACAGGTATTTGTTTGGAGATGCTAGAATGTCAATCCCAGCAGGAGCATAGCAGGTTTGTATTTCCCCAAGAAAGGATCATACTCTTACAGTGCCCACCTACTTAGCTATAATTGCAATAGAGGGCACATACATTTCATGAGTTCATAATAATGGAATAACCATGATTAAGATCAGACTTCAATTGCTTTTAAGCCTGCATACTTATTTGAAGACATTTCTGCTCAAATAATTTCAAAACCATGAGAAATATGGACAGAGAAAATCTGTTCCTGAAGAAATTGACAAGAAGGAACATGGTTTTGTATACAAATAATTTCACTTGATCTGAAAAGCAAAGTATTCCTCAAGAGTTAGCAACTCCGCATCTGTAAGAAAATGGATAAGCACTACAAAATGTGGGTCACTACACTGAGTGCTTCAGAGCACAAGAAGTGTCCATTTTCAGCTTAGCCCTTAATTTGGATTCAGAGTGAAATAAGAATCTCTTACAGACCTGTCTCAATATTGCTAAATCCAGTTCCATCTCAGTACTGTTAATGACAGGACTTTTGTTCTAAGTGGTGTCAGCTGCTGACAGTTTTTTAAACAACATGTCACACCATTCCTGTCTGTATGGAAAGACAAAGAACATCAGGTTCTGCCTTATCTTTTTGTGACTCATTCACTGGCAAAGACTGAGGTCCTTGTGACAGCCAGCAAAACCAGAAGTGTCCTGACAGAGGACCAGTAGCCTAAGAATCTTCTTTCCAAGGAATAATCAGTGTGGGAAGACAGAGAGCTCCCATAAGGCTGCAACAATACTACAATGAATTAAACTTGCTGTCATTCAATAACCTTTATAGCAGAGTTGATCACAGCCCATCTCAGAACTGCAGACCCTCTGCAGGGGACTGCCAGCATTACCAGTGCCAAAGAACAGAATATACCCACCATGGATAAGACCATTCAAGAACTTTGAGGGGAAAAAATATTTTGCCAAATTATACTCAAAAATACTTGTTAGAAAAATGTGCAGTTCAAGAGAAGGAAGGGAAAAGTAATCAGAATTTTACAGCTAATCTACTTATTGTATTAGTAGAAACAACATCCATGCAAAGAACCTCAGGGTCACATAATCCAAACCCTTCAATAATATTCATTCCTCATGTTCAAGGCCATGCTGGAATCCAAATCCAAAGGGCAGGATAATAACAATTGTGTCCTTAAGGCTGAATTCTTTGCAGCTGATGAAAGTTCTCATTTCGCTCTAATCACAGGACCATCTGCGTTGTCCTTGGTGCCATGATGCAGGTGGGTGCCATTAAGCACAAAAAGAGCCAGATCCTATAAGTAAACTACCACTTTTTTTATTGTAAGAGGTTCCCATTAACTACTAGACATATCTTTCAGCCAACTGTTAGAGGAACGCAGTCTGTTGTAAAACTTAAACCACTATTTATATTATAATGTGCCATGTGATGCAGTGTCTAATGTTTGCACTTGTCAACAGTTTCCATCTTCAAATAGATTTTTGGCTAGCAGACCTCGGTTTATTTATTTTCTACCTTAAAAAACTGTATAGTCACAGTTCTTTCTGCTTTCACATCAGGAGCTGTGGAAACCCCACTGAAATTAATAGGCCAAATTAGCCCACACTAAGGCCCTAACCAAGTACATTAAATATGAAATAGAGATTTTTCAAGTCTCTTATTTTCCTTCATCTATGCTATACTGATTTTGGAAGCAGAAGAGTATAAAACATACTTATTATAACCATTCTGTTCACTTATTCTAAGCACAAATAATTCAAAATAACATATAATGTAGAATGTTACTTGCTGTCTTCAATACCTGTGCATCCCTTCACCCTTCCCAATCCTTTCTCAGCTGTGGTACTACGACTTTAGCAGCAGCTAGCTCCCTTTCATGCTTTGGTGAAAATGGATGTTATTTAGTGCTTAATTTCCTTGAAAACAGAAATGCAAATAGAATCTTGGTCCCTGCTGCATAATTCCTAGCAAGCAAGTGCAGCTGTGTGCTTTAAAAACCCAGGAAAATGTATTTCAGCTTTTCATGGAACCTGGCCCCACCCTATTCCTCTGTGCTTCCCTAACTTGATTTACACTAAAATTTACAGAGCTAAAAAACTAAAAAAAAATTGCCTTTACCATGATATGGTGATGAGATTTCAAGTAAGCACTTGAACAGAAAGAAAGGAAAAAAAACAAAGTAATTGAAATAAAATTCAATTTTCTGTTGATTTTGGAATGAGGCCCTATCAGTCAAGTCCACAGAGATGGTGCATTCATCAGTCATTAACTATGGACTGTTCTTTCCTCTTCATCAGTTTATATACTCACCTACAAATACCTGTCAAACTGAATTACAAAATAGTTTCCACTACGTGTTAAGCTTCTGTTTTGCTTTCCTCATGACATATCACCCAAGACTGCTATTGTGGTTTTAAAAATTATTAATAAAATTTATTATTAATTTACATGATCACATACTTTCCAAAGGATAAAAAAGTGTTACTTGAATATACCTGAACACACAAGAAGCCATTGAGGAATTCATTCTAATGTATTATAGTAAAACAAAACAAACAAGGAAAATATACTCATTTATAATTACATAATTTAGCAGTTTATTGTGTACTGCACAGCCTATATGTATTCAGGATAGAAATAGAGCTACTCTGGCAGATACTGTTAATATCATGGTTAGAGCAAAAATACCAAAATAACTTAATAGTAAAAACAACCATCTCACAGAAGATCTCCAGCTTCCACATCTCAAAACAGGGCTATTAATAGGCTTGTGCACCAACTCCACAACATATTTCAGAGAGTTAAAAATATTTCCTAGGAAAACTCAAACACCAGGAATTTCTAACAGTACACAGCAAAGACAGCTTAAACATCTTGAATTAGGTTTAACATTTTACATTTTATCAATAGCCTTTCATTTCCCTGGTTGGAAACACAGTATTACTGCTACCACGATTGCACACATGAATATGCACAGTGACTGTTACATAGAAATGCTGCTAAATGAGCACTGAGTAGCAAACTCCTAGATGCTGGTTTGGGGATCTTTTAGTCACTTCAGAGCTAATGTCCAACTGACTTTTCAGTAAGAACTAAGCTTTCAAATGCCAACCTCACTCCTGAAAAGTAAATCCAGATACTAAAATTTTACTTACGAGGGTCAACATGAGGCACTTTGTCTGAAGGCAGCTGAGGTTCTCCTCTCAATCCTCAAGCAGCAGAAAACACATCTCCTTCCCTACTGATGATCTCAACCTCTACAGCAAACCCAGCACGTACAAACACTGGGATTGAGGGACTACTCACCCCTACCCATCCCCTTTTCCTAACAGAACTACAGGGCAGTTATTCAGTGAGGGAGTCTTTTATTGGCAGCACAATCTCCAATTTTAAACAGCTGAGTACTGAAGCCTGAGGCGCTGCCTTAATCATGTTCACATGGTGGGAGGGGAGGATTGGGGCAGGAACAAAAGTACCTGAGCTAAAATCTATCCACCACAGCAGTCCCCAATGGAAGCAAATTTCTGAAGTGAGTGTGGCCCTATTAGATGAACCAAATTCAGGAATAATGTGAAAATAATTAAAAGCTGTATGGCTGCTATAGCCCTGTATGGCTGCTTTGAAACTGACACTGAGCCTACAGCTGCTTCCCCCTTCCGTGCTCCTTGTGGGTTCTGTTGAGGAGCTGCTTGTCCAACTGAATAACAAGAAATACAGAACACCTGACCATGGATGGCAACTCCAGCTCCCACAAAGTTTAATTATTAGCTAATAACTGACATTACGTAGCAGGTGTGAGCTTCCCACTACTGTTACATTTATAATAACATGACTTGATAGTATTCCATCTGTTACTGTATAGACACATTGTGACAATTTTTAGACTGTTTGGAGAGGGTAACATGTTATAGCCACTTTATAATACTTCACAGGATTACACAAAGTACATTTATGGGGAATTAAGTTGGATTTACTTTATGTATTAATTTAAACAATTTAAAACATGGTTTAATAGGTGCTTTTATACATACAGTAATACTCATCTGCATGCAAACATGAAAAAAAAACCTCCAGAAATTCCACAGTAAAAAATCTATGATACAAAGGTTCAGGTTGTCACAATCTTGAAATCTTCACTACAAATCTTCACCAGAGCCTTTAAGAAGAAAACACTTTTCTTGCTTCAGTGGTTCATCCAAAACTTTTGTGGTACTATAAAAAAAAAAAAATCTAGAGAACACAAGAATGTTAGATTTCTATCTGCTTTTCTTGCTTCAGTGGTTTATCCAAAACTTTTGTGGTACCATAAAAAAAAAAATCTAGAGAACACAAGAATGTTAGATTTCTATCTTTACTAATGTAGTTTTTGCTTCATGTACAACCTAAGACTAGACAAGGAGTCCTACATTTCAGTAACGCCAGACAGTTGTCACAGTCCATAATCTTCACTGAAGTAACCTTAACTTTGTTAAGTTACTCACAACAGGACCTCATAACCATTGGATATCCATTTTGTCATTGGGATTGTCAGTGCTGTGACACAGAGTAACACATAAACAATTCTGACTACTTCATTTAAGTTCTAGTCTTCAAAATTGAAGCAAGATAAAATGTAGGCTTTAAAATTGAATATTAAACATAGGCTTTAAAATAAAGGCTTTAAAACATCCTTTTATCAGTATTTCTATATCAATCATCCACTAGCCTGACTTTGTGAAATATCAGGACTTCTCCCACATTTGAGCAAAAGTTGGCCACTATTTGAGGATCTGACTTCAAGAGGTTATGTCCCCTTACTGTACCAATTCTAGAACTAAAAAGAGATTATGGTCTTTTTCTCATTTATTTTATCACTTAGAATCAGCCCTGTAAACCACATGAATGCAAGCACATGTAATTAAATTTTGTAGAACAACTCTGGTATAAAGAAGAAATGGCTTAGCATTATCTTGATTTGTGCCTCTGGACTCTCTCAACTCCCAAAATAGCGAATTCCCATGAAGAATTCCAGTTGAGAATATGCACAAACTTATGCCAGTTTCCAAAACATGCTTGAGAACTGGGGTAGGGGGAGTTTGTCCAGTCCAAAACATGATTTTTCTAACAATTCAACAATTCAGTTCCTGTGCCAAGAATTGTTTCCTGAACCTGTTTAATTTACTAGCAGAGATGTAACTGCAGGTGAAGTTCCTTCTCTCTGCTTGATTGTCTGACTACAGAAGCATCTAAGGAATAAGTTCCCCTCAGAACCTGAAATGCGCCTTTAAAGAAAGCCTATTTAGTAGTGATGATTGCAGATGAAGCACTTTCCTTAGGGGAGGCTTTAGATCCAGGATCCAACTTGGCAGTGCCTTTTCTGCATTCCTCCCCTGAGAGTTTCTGCTTTCTTCATTGCTCCAATCCCACTTTTACATCCTATTCCACTCATAAAGTTTGCTGCTTATTTTTCTAACTAAGAGAAATCTGATACTTCAGTGATAGAAACACAATTAGACCTTGTAACAGAAGAACTTATGCATATACCAATAATGGAGGTCAACATTAAATTCAACTGATGACTTTTTATTTCTTTATTAAGCTATATAGAAAAAAAAATGAGAGAAGGCTCACAAGTTAAAATAGAAAGGGAGAAATATTTTTAATTGTCAGTTTGATATTATATAACATTTCCCTACAACTGGGCACGAAATGGCTGCTGAAGTACAGGAATTCCTCCCTGCCAGTCTGGCACTTCTATTTCTTGTGTGCAGATCGTGAGCATGACTGTGCCTGAGGTGTACTGTGCCATGGGGGAGAAGGTGGCTCCCATAATAAAGTTCTTGCAAATTCAAGGATTCTTTTTTTGTTACCACTCAGTTCTGGTCATGGATTAAATATACCATAACAACTTTCATCTCCCCATAATTTTCCTGTCCATTTAGACATAATCTTGGGAAGAAAACTTACTTGAATTAGCTGGAAAATTATACACCTTGAAAACACAGGAAGAAAAATGAAGCCTATAAACAATTGTTACTCTGTCCTTCACTCACCTGTAAGGGTGAAGAAATATAGATGCTCCTGTCAATGCATTGGTATTGAGGATTCCATAATCTATGCTGAAGCAATATATAAATTATGAGAAGAAGATTTAGAACTCCCAGAAAAAAAAGCCAGGCAATAAAAACAAACAGAAGTATTGATAAAACTCTTTTGTTAAATTACAAGCTAAAGGAAGCAATGCAATGCAGTATTTCACTACATTTATCAGCCAAAGAGAAGGTAAGAGAAAAGTAATGGAAACCCTCAAAAATATAGCTTATTTCCATTTTTTGCTCCTTCAGAATGTCAGATACCTATATACAAATGAACTATTGACTCTAAACAAAAAGATTTTTCATGTTGGGTAAAGCAGTATTTTGCCATGCAGTACTGGATTTATTCTGAAATCTTCAGGGCAATCAGAAACCAAATATGTACAGCACCAGAGAGACAGGCAAACCACATTTTACAGCAGCAGCCACTGTGAAGGGAAGGATAAATGCATTAATCACTTGAGTATAGCTCAGTTAAAAAGATTTTTATAAACCATGAAAGATCAGACTACAATACAGAGCATGATTTCTTGATCCTTGAGCAGACTGTGCTGCTGCTGCTGCTGTGTGAGAGCTGTACCTGACCATCTCTAACATGAATTAAGAACCAGAGAGACCTTAGGATAAAACAGGAGGCAGAAGTAACAGTAGCAGTATTTTAAATAACATTTCTATGCATCTTATTTACACTTATATTTCTCTGCTCCTTATTTAAATGTATTTTCAATTTTCAAATATATTTTTTTATTTCCTGCATTAAATCTTTCTTAATACCTTGACTAGGCAGCCACAAAGAGGAGTACATTTGAAAATTAGAAATATTTTGCAGCTACAGCAATTGGTCTAAGGAAACATATTACCTCTCTGCACAAACCTTATCTCAATGGAAATATTTTGTCTGCTTCTTTTATGCAGCTAATTGGATTCATGGATTTGGTGTTAAGGTTCAGTTGCAATTTTAGGATCCTAAACATTTCCATAGCCTGTGCTTAATAGACAGAAGGGTTAGCTTAGAAATAAAAGGTAATGTAAACTACTTTGTGGTTTTTAATGAGAAGAAACATCAGAAACATGGGAGCATAACTAGAGAAAACTAAGTATTTTGGAAGTTGACAGTTATTTAATTTATAATAGTTTACAATTATATTAATTGGGTGAAATAGCACTTCTATGGTATTGTTACAGAGCAGAGATTATGGTGCATCACAATGTATTATAAGGAACACAAGTGAATAAAGAAGATCAGGCTTATGAAGGATTTAGTTTGGTACAGCAGCAGGTACTCAGGAGTGTAAGGTGAGTTCAGGTTGTGAGCACATAAACCCCCAGATCTCCAAGACCTCATACTGTGCCTGCCCAGCACACCATTACTGAACTCTTCTGTCATACCTGCTAACACAAAAGGTTGGTAGGTAAGGAAAAATGCTTGGCAGAAATATTCTGGTTACACTTTTTCTTGCAGGGCTCCTACCTGCATTCAATTTTCATGTAAAGCAGATTAGGCTGCCCAAAGGCTCCGAGTCTTGGTTTCAGGCCCTTCTCAGACCCTGGTTGCACTATAGCACAGGTTTTCTTTTTCTTGCCAGACTACTTTCTTTGCTTCTTAAGAAGCTGCAGGTTGTTGGTTTTTTTACAGTCCTCTTCTTCCTCCCATTTTTTTTTATAAACACAACACAGCAGCAAAGGCAGCTGTGGAACTGAAGGATGATGTCTTAAAGGTAGCTCCTGGTGAGATGAAGCCAGCAGGGGTATAAAAGTCTGAAAGCACGCCTTTGAAAGAAGAGTCATGTTCCTAAATATTGAAAAGTGATTCTCTTAAGATAATACTTGCAATCAGCACTCAGCATGTGCAGCAGCCACGTTCTGCAAGACAAAATTGGCTGCTTTAGAGAGTTCAGCAAAAAGCAGACGGTTGGGGTACTGCAGCTCTCCTACACTGAGTTATTAAAAGACAAATCCTCTACGCTACTGAAGCTCCAACTGAGGAGTTCCAAAATCATGCAGTTCTGATATAGAACAGAAAATATTCAAGATCTGCATATTGCCATTTGAAATTTAAGCTGTGGTCACCAAACCCACCCATGTAATTAGCGTGGATCTTAGAGATGCTTTTGGCAGAGCAGCTGAGAGTGTAGAACGTTTTCAGAGGTGTAGAAATGACTAAGACACTTAAAAGTAGAGCAAAAAACCTAAGGAAGATACGAATAAGAGAGGTGGGGGAAAGATCAGAGTAAAGTACTGCAATCATTAGAATTTTTATTTGTAGAAGAAAAAAACCTCCATTTTGCAATGGAATTATGGCTGTGATGATGGACTGGATACCAGGAGAATAAGTGCAAGTTACTGAGTTACTGATGAAGTACTTTTTATTAGCCCAGGTGCAGCAATGGCCAGGGATGATGGTGATGATGATGATGCCTACACCAATGACCTCTGGTAGTGAGGTTTTGATGGAATTTAGGATACAGTATTATCCCTGAGATTGCAATTTTCTTCTTAATGTAGAACCCAAGGTGGACCAGTATCCCTAAGGTTTCACAGTTCTTGTACTCAAAAAACAGTTTCCTAGCACTATTCTAGCACCATCAGTGCTATTTTTTATTGCAGAAACATAAACTAAAGATGCATTTACTCAATCTCTCAACATTATATCCCCCCTTTTCAGAAGACGTGGTCTTTTCATGATCTGATTTTGAAGGGAAGCTATCAAAAAAACCATAAATTGTTGAAACATTATTTTCATTTTTATATGCTGTTCTCTCTGCTGCTCTTCTGATGCCATCATATTTTATAGGAACACAGTAAGAATACTTCTGAGCTATTTTTATCTTTCCCAAGTTATTTATTTGCAGTTCCAACGAGTTTGTTAGTCATAATTTGAGTAAGCATATATCTAAATTATTGCTTATATTAAATACATATCTCTCTAGGAAAAAGGAACAATTATTTTATTTAAAGTGCTGACATAAAATGATGACTGCATAAATTTACAGTAGATCAAATAGCATTTTTAAATCTAAAATAAAAGCTTGTGTAATTTTAGTTTAAAATTATATTTGTGTCAAATTAAAGACTCATCAAAGACTGCAGAGCTGTATATG